ATGGTGGTGAAAGCACTGGACTCTCATATGGCCGAAAGCAGGAAAGTCCCAGATCTGGTAGCTTGAAACTCGTGCTGTGTGTGCATGCCCAAAATCCCAGGAGGAGAATGGAGGAGAAGGGCTTGTGGTGCAGCAATGCCCGCTGGGGTGTGATGGCTCACTTTCCCTCTCACTGTCTCTCTGTCCCTCCAGTGAGCACACGTGTCCTATAGCAAAAACCTTAAATATAGATATATAGATATATAGAGATATAATTGTATATATTATTATTTCCTAATTGAAAAGCATATGTATTATTTCACATATAATGTATATATTACTTTATAATCGGAACACAATAAATAAGCTTTTCTTTTTAAAGGCCCCAAATTTAAATCTCTGAGCCACAATAACCAGGGTGCAGGAGATGCTCGCCGCATTCGGGCCCTGTGAGAACGATACTGAGGACTCCCCGGCCAGCACTCCCAGTCATGGGAAAAGCCACCCCTGCCACGTGACCACATCAGGGAGGAGATGCTGGGCTGTCGCAGACGCCTGTGCACGTCTCCGGAGGGTCGTCCCTCCCTCCCTTCTCCAAGGCAGTGTCCGGCCACATGGCCTGGCCTGGAACTACTGTCTGAGCTCCAAGCACCCATCGTTGTAAGAAAGTTTTTCCACTGTGAAGCAAGGGTTGCCTTGGGAGGTGTGCGTAAGGATCCTCCCTGGATTGACTTCTAAAATCTGGTAACTCCAACACAGAACCACCAAGGTCAACTGACAACAGACTCTTGGGGAATGTGGGCAAGAGTTAGACCTTGGGCCTCAGCCAGGTCCCAGGACTCTCAGGGGATGCAGACCCTTCCTTCCAGAGCCCAGGGCCACTTCCATCTGCACTGGCTGAGGTTGGGTGCCCAACATGGCCAGTCCTGGTAGGTCCCAGAGGGAAGTAGGGCGGCCCTGTCAGAGCTCACATGGTCCTTGATCTTCCAACGATCAACGTGATGTCTGCCTGAGAGGACCTTGCGGTAGAGCAGACCACTTCCCCCGGCCGGGAGCCCGCCCAGATAGGCCGACTCAGACACACAGGCACAGCCAGCATTGCCTGCCAGCCTCTCACATGCATGTAGAAGTTCTCAGACCTGCGTGTGTCCCTCTGCCTTTCCTGTGTACAGAGTATTCACATGGACACACCATGGACCCCACAATGCCCTGAGCAGGCCCCTCTCCCAGGAAGCTCAGCACATGTCAGGACAAGACATGCCTTGTTCTTAGGGAAGGCTTCCTCTCACTCAGGACGCCCCTCCCCACACACAGCCTGCGATTCTGCAGAGCAGCACTAAGGGCCCTTTATTCGAGAGGGAATGAGCACAAAGCACCTTCAGCTGGTTCGGGGCGATGAATCTCCTCCTGTCCTGACATCCCGGCCTCGGCCTCCTCCAGAGTCCCTTCCGATTCATCCGAAACAGAGGCACCCTTCACCTCAGCCTCCTCACTGTCCTCGCTGTCCACGCCGTAGCCCTCGCCCAGAGCCAGCTTCAGGGGCTGCGACTTCCTCTTGGACACCAGGTGCTCAGCCTCAGCACCCGCCAGCTTCCTCTTCTTGGCCAGAGGGCAGCTCTGTAAACTGGGAGGGAGGGGAGGCAGTGGAGAGGCCGCAAACACCCCTGTGCACTCCCCGAGGGTCAGCTCTCCTCCCTTCACAGTCACTCTGCTGAAAGTCACCATCTCTGATATTTTTTTAAATTTACATTTAATTATACACTTTGAAAAGTTCCTGATGGGACTAGCAGATGACATAATGGTTATATCACTGGACTTCCACATGGTCCACTGTTGTTTGAATCCTCAGCCTAGTAACTGAAACCCATGCTGGGCGTGTGTGCGTGCGTGCCCAAAATCCCAAGAGGAGAATGGAGGAGAAAGGGCTGTGATGTGGCCATCCTCCCTGATGGGTGATTTCTCGCTTTCTGTCTCTTCCTGTTTCTCCTGTAAACACACACACCCTGTAACAAAAACCTCTCTAAAATATGGGACCGGTTGGTGGTGTGGTGGTTAAGGGCGCTGGACTCCCACATGGCCGACCACGGTTCGAGTCCTGGACCTGGTGGCTTACTTTCTCACTCTCCCTCTCTCACACACACTCTGTCCCTCTCTGATCAAATTAAAATAAATAAATAAAGTTAAATAAAATAAATCTTAAAAATAAAACCTCTCTAAAATAAAAGAATCCTAATTATGAGTCCAACATGTAATGTGGAGGTTAAGGCACCTGCATTCACATGGCCAGCCCTGAGATTCACGTCCCATGCGAGACACGAGTGTGTGCGAGCCCACCATTCCAAGAGGAGAGTGGAGAGTGATCGCCGCATGGCAAGCTCCCTGGGGGTGATTTCTCACTTTCCCTCTCTCTGTGTCTCACTATCTCTTCCCATTGAGCACATATACCCCATAGTAAGAAAAAAAAAAAAGTTCCTGACTACATTTTTGTTGGTGTTTTAATATTTGCCACAGGGTACCTGCAGACCAGAACCGCAGTCGTGTGGCATCAAGCACTGAACTACATGCCACCTGTTGGCCCCTGACTGTGTCTTACCCTGCATTTCCTGCTTCTCTCAGCAGTCAGAAGCCCTAGCTGCAACTAGAAGTGAGGACGGCTTGCCCTTCGAGGTCCGCTGGCCGCAGCTGCTCCTCCCTTAGCCTTCAGACCAGCCTGGTCTCAGCCCGTTTCCTCCCACCAAGGCCTTTCCTTTTCTACCTCCAGAGCCCCTGCTTGCACTGCTGTGGTCAGGGTGGGGCACCCAAGGTAAGCTGACCACCTCAACAACTCTCCCACAAACTCATCCAGTCTTTGAGCAGCACATTCCTGGCCACACGCCTCAGTGAAGGCACCATAGCAGCGTGGTCTGGTGGGGGAGAGACCGCTCCCAGGGAAGGGATTAGCCAGGCCTCAGCAGCCACAGAGGTGGGTGTTTTTAATTGATGAAAGGGTCAGGAGCAGGCTCCAAGCCTCCCTCCATCCCAGGAAACGTGATGAGAACAAGGAGCCCTTACCTTCGGTGTCTGGAGTACTTGCCTCGGACATGTCCTGAGCCTGTGCACCCTGGGGTGGGACAGCTGGGGACAAGCAGAAGAGGTCAGCCAAGGTGACACTACCTAGCCTCAGACCCACCCTTAGACCCTCAACCCAGGGAACAGAGGGTTGTCCCCAAGCAGTTCATCTCAGAATGACTGTCGGTCACTTGCTAATAAAAATTAATGAAATGGGGCCAGCAGATGGTGTGGTGGTTAAGGCGCTGGACATTCCCACATGGCCGACCACAGTTCGAGTCCTGGACCTGGTGGCTTGCTTTCCCACTTTCCTTCACTCTGTGTGTTGTCCCTCTCCAGTCAAATTAAAATAAATGAATGAATACATAGAATTGAATAAATTTTTTCTAATTAATGAAATAACTCACATCACTTAAATAAGTGAATGGCTCACTGTGGCTTTATGAGTATGTTTAACTAAATCCTGTATGTGCAAGAACAGGGTTGCAACACCAGCACCTCCTGGAAACGTCCCTTCTCCAAGGGCAAGCTTCCCTGCTGCAGGCACCCTGCCCTTGCCCAAGGTTTCCAGGGCCTCTGAGGTGCCCCAAGTGCAAAACCCTCTGAAGAAGGGTCATCGCATGTCTGGCCCAAGTCCAAAGCAGGTCAGAACTTTCCAGAGCCACCAAGGGCAACAGGCTCCACACTCCCAGATGGGCTGTCCTGTGCTGCAGGCCAGGACTCTGTGTGCCCAGAGGACCATCTGGAGGTGGAGACAACACTCTAGCCACCACAGGCTCATTGGGCTCAGCTTTCAGGTAGGAAAGTACAGCCAAAGGGCCCAAAGAGCTGAGAGATGCTCGCCCTCCCTTGGTGGGGGACACAGGGCTGGGCCTAGAAGAGCCTCTTTGGAAGAGGCTGTGTAGCCCTAGCGCAGCTCCTCCCATAGGCTAGCAAGTGCCCAAGGGACAGAAACGAGTCCCCAGGAGTCCCTTGCCTCAACCAACATCTGTCTCCCCTTACCAAACCCAGGGAAAGCTTTGGAAACATCTGACCCTGGGCATTAACCATGTTGCTGCCACGGACCACAGGGCCACAGATCCCACAGCAGCTGTTAAGTAAGAGCTGCCATGCAGGGGCCTGTGCAGGGCATGAGGTCAAGCCTGCCAGATCCCGGCTCCTTTGGGCCCGTTGCTACCGAGCAGCAAGATCAGGAACTGCACGAGGGTTCCCAGGAAGGGGCAGTCAGAGTGCTTGTAGGAAGACAGGCTTCCCTGGCCAGTGGGCAGATCTTGATTGATGCCACAAGTCTGTCTCTACCTGGGATCAGGCTTTTTTGAACTGTGCAAGAGTCTTCCCAGGGCCTTCCCACTGCATGCTCCAGGGACTCAGGAAAAGGGACACCCTAGTCTCTGTCCTGAGGGTTTCAATGTGACTGGCCCCAGGCCAGTCTGCACTGACTGCAAGCCATACTCATTGACCGTGTCAGGGAGGGGCAGAGCAGCATGGTGCCTGAGTCTCAACACCATCACTAGGCACACAGGGGGCCGCAGTGGGGTTCTCCTGGCCCCCCTGGGGACCACCATGGCTGGCTCTCTATGTGTTAGAAAAGAATAGAGGCAAGGAGGGAGAGCAGAAAGGAAGTAGGAGCAGAAGCAGCAGAGGGAGGGGAGGGGACGAGATATTCTCCACTGGGGGTCGCCGCTACCCGGCCCAGTCTCTTCCATAGTAAATCTAGGCCCACTTGTTTTCACTCTCGAGAGAACTCACTTCGTGATTTTTCACAAAAAGCTCCTTGTTATCAGGAACTTGAAGCTGAGGTCTCAATTAGTCGATCAATCGCTGAGTTAATCAGGCAATGAGGCGACAGCTGCTGCAGAGCCTGTGGTACACTGGCACTGCTCGAACTCAGCACCTGTTCCAGTCTCCCTGCACCCTGCTCAGAGAAGCGCTGGGACCCACAGGTGGATCGGCACCATCTAGCTCAGCCTAAGAGGGCTGTGGACAGGCCAGTGAGCCCAGGGCACAGAGATGGCAAGGCCACCTGAGCCAAGATCTGGAGGCCTCGCAGGCCTGTCCCACCCCAGAGTGTCCCTCCCTGAGCCTCTGGAGGCTGGAAAGTCAGCCGGTGCTGGCCCTGAACCCCACAGCTCTCGAGAGTTAGCTGTGAGCAAATCCAGCTGGTATTTACGGTGCCCAGGCTGGCACCACAGGAAGAAGAAACAGCAAGGCCTACTGCCCCGTGAGCCTCTCCCACCACGGAAGGAGAGGCAGATCCCAGCCAATCCCTCACCCTGCCACTCGGTAGCAGGACCCCCACGTCCCCCCTTGGCTCCCCATATGAAGCTGACATAAGGACAGAGCGGGCGAGGCTCATAGAGGCCGGGCTCTTGGTCACTTTTCAGCAGATGTCCTGGACAGCAGCTCTGAGGGCCTGGACAGGAACACAGAAACAAGGAATCCAAGCCAGGAGGGAGCTTCCTGGCACAGCCACTGCCTTCAAGGATGGGCCTCCTCCTACCCATGGGACAAATAGAAAGCCCCCACTGGGTGCATGCTCTGAACTAGGACATGGCCCCTGTGCCCAAGCACACGTGGGCTCAGTGGTGCTGACCCTAACCCTGATCTTGGCCTCCAAAAAGCCAGGCAGAGGCTCACGTCTGCAGGCGATCACAAAGTGGAATGCCTGTGGAAGTGGCCGTCCATCCCTCCACCAGAGCAAAGGGGGAAACTGCCCGACTCATTCCTTCTTTCAGGCACTCTTAGTCTCAGGACTCTGGAGTTTGGAAACGGCGGCTCAGTGACCTGCTTGACCCAGGCTGAGCGCCCCTTGGCTCACCTCCCCAACCACCCTACTGCCCAAAGAACAAGCGTCTTCCTGGGAGCTCTGCCCAAGGCATGATGGGGCCGTGTGGGACCCTAGGATTCCGAGTCAATGGGGCATAAATTCCCCATCCACAGAGAAAGTCATGCACAACACAGGGCTCCCAGATGCTCCCCGACTGAGTCCACCATGGGCTTGTCCAACAGCAAGATGTGCACGTGGAGCAAACTGTCCTCCATGGGTCACAGCTCCCACTCTGGCAGGAACAGTAGAGCCCCTGAGACAGAGGTCTCATCTGCTTTTGCTGTCCTGGTAAGGAGGCCTTTGGAAGGGGTAAGGGGTACCTACAGCCCCCAGCGGTGGATGTCCTACAGAGCTGTGGGTGCCGTCACCCAGTAAACACCACAGAGTGACACTGTAATGACATCTCCATGGGCAGCTCTTGGCCAGCAAGCTTGCGGACACAGGAAAGGAGGACACCTTTCCTGCAGAAGGCATGAGCTCCCTTGGCATAGTCTTCATTTCTATTTTTTTAACTCTAAGAATAGCTTTTCAAAACTGAATAATTGCTGAAGAAATGGTTGCTGGATCCTAGGTATGGACACCCCAAGTTTCTCCATAAAAACGTTTTAGGATCTCACTGTTACCAACTGAGCAGGCTGAGACCATCAGATTAATGCGTACAGCCCCTCGTTTACTCCGGGCAGGTCCTCTCTCAGAATGTGTTAAAACAAGCTAATCTAGGACCAGCAGTTGGCATAATGGCTATGTAGTTGGACTCTCACGTAGTGGACCATGGTTCAAGTCTCAGACATGGTGGCTTAAACTCCTGCTGGGTACGTACATGTGCGTGCGTGCCCAAGATCCCGAGAGGAGAATGGAGGAGAAGGCATTGCAGCATGGCCATCCCCCCTGGGGGGTGATTTCTCGCTTTCTGTCTCTCTGTCTCTCTCTGTCTTTCTGGTGAGCACACGCGCCCTATAGCAAAAACCTCTCCACAAAAAAAAAAAAAAAAAAAAAAAAACATGCTAATCTATCAGTTCTCATTACTGCTATACAAGGTGGCAGGTGAGGAGCTGCCGAGCAGGAGACTAAGGAGAGGAACCTGAAGCCAAGAAGGCTGATGCCAGCGGCAGAGTTAAAGAGGGTGACGCCGAGGCTAAAACGCCCAAGAAGCCCAAAGAGGGGGACCCCCCCCGCCAGCCAAAGCCGGTCCTAGTCCAGGGCATCGGCAGATACTCCTGTCTGCCATGGATCCCAGGAAGGCTGTGTACAAGAGGAAGCACCCAGCCACTGCGTGGTACCATCCCACTGCATATGTGCCTCGAAAGCCGCTGAGCCACGGAACCCCTTCAGTCGGCCTGTGAGAGAGCCGCAAGCCAGCATCCCTCCCGGGACCACGCTGACCCTCCTCACTGGACG